TGGACAAATAGGCTTCCGCGGTAAATAATAATAATAATAATAATTTTAACTAGAACTGCGATGCAGTAATGACGGGTTTCACCGGTGCCACGTTACCCTAAACATATGTCACTTCCGGTACCAATGAAACCATTAAACAGGTTTCCACCTCAGCATTGCACACATCAAATAAAATGGACGCCGAATCAACCAAATCCAGCAATATCAATTCATTTTATATATTTGTTACATGTAAGTGTACAGTACTTCCGGTGATAATGAAAATATTCAATTAGTTTTATGAAATCAGAAATGGCATAAGGCATCACATGGTGAAAATTTTATGTAAATCGAATAATAATTGCCACTTTTATAGACCAAAAACCTTAAAAAGTGACTTGTAGAAAACCGTCAATTCCTCTGCAACCATACAAGTTAAAAAACCATTTTCTGGAATCTGTATGATCGTATGGGTTTATTCTATTTGTTGATTGGAATCAAATATCATAATTTTAAAAACATAACAACTCAGACTCATTTGAATAAAATATCTGTTTTGAAAGCTAAAAATACAGTTTTTGCCAAAATGACGTTACTTCCGGTGATAATGAAAATCTTAAATTACTTGTATGAAATCGTAAATGGCATTAGGTATCACATAGTGAAAATTTCATGAAAATCGAATAATAATTGACACTTTTATGGACAAAAAACCTTGAAAAGTGACCTGTTGAAAATTACCTATTTCTCTACAACTGAACAAGTTAGAAACCATTTTGTGATACCTATATGATCGTATGGGTTCATTCTATTAGTTGATTAGAATCAAATATCAAAATATTAAACAAACAACAAATACGACTCATTTCAATAAATTATTTGTTTCTAAGGCTATAAATACAGTTTTTACCCAAATTTCCGGTGACATGGAAAATGTTAAATTGAGTTGAACTAGTCACAATTGACATTATGCATCAAATGGTGTCACTTTTATGAAAATCCAATAATAATTAACTCTTTTACAGACACAATAGCGTAAAGAGTGACTCATGCAAAATTGACCATTTCTCGGCAACTGCTCATATTACAAACTAATTTTGAGATAGATTCTCTTCGTATGGATTAATGCTACAAGTTTATGAAAGTTGCGAAGAAATATTTTAAAATATGAAAAGCCTTAATGGGTTGTAAATAGCTCATTTTTTCACCTTTTTTCACCTTTAAATTAAAATGACCCGAAAACGAAATCGAAATTAAAAAAACTGAGCCCGATATTTTCTGCGCCTTTACAGGGCACACACTTTCAGTCATACCAGATTTGATAAAAATATTATTTGCTTTCAAAAAGTGGTACCGAACTGTCAAAATTGTAGTTTTTGCTAAATTTACGTCACTTCCGTTGCCGAAAGGTAACTTTACCGGTAACAAAAAAAATGACATTTTGGATTACGGAGCATATGAACTTTGTTTTATACAAATCGAGCAATAAATAATTAATCCAGGACTGAAAAACTGAATTAGCCAATGGGGGTCAAGGAAATTTACGATGACAAAAAATGGTGCCATTTTTGGTCAAATCAGATGACTCTTTAACCCTGGGTAAAATACCACATTCAAATATTCATGAATAAAAAAGTTTTTTGTAAAAATTTAAATTTTCCAAATTTGGCGCCTAATATCTCCGACGATTCGTGGAAAATCAAAAATCTAAAGAACCGTGGCTATGTGCCTTGTCTCTGGCTATGTCAAAATGTATCCAATGTTAAAATCCGACGATTATTGTTAATATTACGGCAATATTTCAAAATCGACAAATTCGACGATTTCGGACATTTCGCATTGTCGCAGAACGTTCGAAATAGCTTTAATCTCTAAGTCACACCCACTTTTCCAGTAAATCCGAAGACATCGAATCAATCCGACAAGTAGTTTCTGAGATACAATCAAATTGGAAAAAAAAAAATAATAATAATAAGAATAATAATAAGAATAATTTTAACAAAAAAAATAGTGTTTCACACAAGCTACGCAGTGTGAAACCCTAATAATCACAATAGGCTTTCCGAGGGTTAGATGGCCGAATGGTTAGCACGCGCGCGCTGTATCATGAGGCCTGTCATTGAGTCAACTGACGTGGTTTCGAATTCCCGGTTGTACTTGACAAGGAGTAGGGTTGCCTGTCCAACCTCGTGGGGTTTCTCCGGGTCCTCCCAATGCTAATGAACCGAAATGACCTAGTCTGTGTCGAGTGGACGTTAAACCCCATTTCTCTCTCTCTCTCTCTCTCTCTCACAATAGGCTTCCAGACGAAAGTCTGAAAGCCTAATAATAATCTTAACAAAAACAATAATGTTTCACACAAGCTACGCAGTTTGAAACCCTAAAGGGAATTAAAGATGTATGTTAAATTTAGCAAGACTCACCCGTGTTAATGTTGACTGACTTGCTGTGGCTGCTGTTATCATCTAACGTTCACCGTTGCTATAGTATCTGCTAGCTATCAGAATAGTTCATATTAATTTACTCTAATCAAACACCAATAATGCCATGATTTATATAATTATCATATCAGGAAAACAGTGGCAAAAGCTTTTTTCTGTCGCGAATGGTGATAGTGGGAACCTAGCATTAAGTCGGTTGTATCAACATCTGTTACTATTGTAACACCGCACTGGTTTAAATAAATCTAGAGATATCGGATCAATTTAGACATAAAATGGTCCCGCGATGCAAAGACGTACTGGGTCGATGAATGATAAGGGCAGGGGCAGAACTTGAGATGCCCGAAACAATTTCAAGTTACAGACGGCGGTGCCGGTCGCTTGCGAGAGGCGAAGGAGTGGAGCATAACGTGTAGACCCCACCCCACCCCATCAAGATGGCCGCAAACGTGAATACAGCAACTTCAGAGTGGCCTAATATAGCCTAACTTAGGAGATGGGACCGTTGGGAGAAAATTTTGAATACAGCCAGTTCAATTTGGTCCAATATAGCCTACCTTAGGCGAATACCTGAATCCCAAATTCCAAACAACAAACAGTTGTTGTGGGGTATGAGCGCCCTGCACTCCCCGAGAAAGTTTTGAAAATTTAACCGCCGCAAATGCATTTTTCTGCTATTCTAGACCTTGAGTTAAGCAACTTCAAAGTTTCCAATCGGTTTGCATCTGAAATCCCACTTTATGAAGGCCTGAATTTCAACCATCCAATCAGACTGTTGCAGCTGCATTCACAAATAATGATGTCGCACAAAGTAGAGTGGTTCTAGACAAAATGATTTAATCTATGGTCAGCTCAGTACAAATTCGTGGTATTCAATTAAAAGAAAAGTAAAATTAGTATTCTATTAGATTTCGGACACTTTATTTTTCCAACTAGATGAAATAATAATTTTGTTTTCACTTTACCCGTGGTAATATTAATTAATTGTTGTTAATAGTTATGATGAATTAATATTTCGTTAAAACAAACTAATATTGCGTAAAAACGAATTAATATTTCTTTAAAAAGAATTAATATTTCTTTAAAACGAATTAATATTTCTTTAAAACGAATTAATATTTCTTTAGAACGAATTAATATTTTGTTATAAAGAATTAATATTTTGTTTTAAAGAATTAATATTTTGTTATAAAGAATTCATATTTCTTTATAACGAATTAATTATCAACCACACAATCAAATTGTTGCAGCTGCATTCACAAAAAATACTCTACTTTTTTCGGGCGTCGATTATTATTTGTGAATGCAGCTGCAACAGTCTGATTTGATGGTTGATGATTAGTTCGTTATAACGAAATATTAATATTTCGTTTAAATGAATCAATATTTCGTTTAAATGAATCAATATTTCGTTTAAATGAATCAATATTTTGTTATTAATTAATTCGTTATAACGAAAAATGGTGTTTTATTAGTTCATTTAAACTTCATCTAAAGTTCCTTCACAACAAAGTGTATTCATCTCTTCTGGCACACTTCTGTCTAGTATTATCTCTGTACAGGATCTAGAGCCACTGTAGCTGGCGTTGTAAGAATGGGACTAGCTTACTAGTAAACCGATCCCGGGATCGATCCCAATGTTGGCCAAGAACTTCTGTCAAACGCCCACCCCACCCTTTAAATACAAGTTACTCATCCAATGTATCGACAAGTATAGAACTATCATTGTGAACTGTAGCTTTTGATCGTGAATTATAGGTGAAGGTGTGCGTCTTTGTGTAATCTGAAATCAAAATAAAACATGCTGAGAGAGAGAGAGAGAGAGAGAGAGAGAGAGAGGGAGGGGGGGGGGCAAACACTTGTCACCCCGGAGAGTACCTACAAGGTTTAACAAGCATTCATAGCAGAGCTTTTGACCCATTGCTCATTTAAAGATCTATTATGTAAACGCTAAATCTGCCTAATATGTAGAACTTTCGTTTTCCCTCAAATGTTGTTTATTCACATAACCAGGGTTTTACTCACTGAGCAAAAGAGGCCTCTCCAGTAACTGATCTAGATATACACATTACACATTCTGCGATTTGCAATTACTGTTTATTGTAGTCTGGAGGCTCAGTGCGGAGGGGTGTCCATCAAATGGGCACAAAACCAGACCCAACTTTTTTATAGTAAAATTTCGCGTCGAAGGTCAAATGAGTTCATTCGCACAAAAAGTGAATGCGCAACCATTCTTGTATCATGAAAATAAGCTGAAAATGTTCGAAAGTAATCATCCTTTCAATAAAAATGTAAACTTGCTAAATTCACCTTTGTTCTTTGTGACGCCGGGGTGTAGAAACCATGGGCCTTTTGTCAGACGTGGAGAGCGGGTGATCTTAAACCGGTCGCCACATCCTACGTACGACCCATGCATCATTTCTTACTACATATCTTAGTAGCCTTGTGATCGTCTAGAATTTGTCTCTTGCTGTCTTTGCTTCCCCTTCACGTTGTGTATTTACATCTTACTGTTTTCTTAAGACGTTTGTCTTTCCAGGAATAACAATGCAACAGTTCGTTTTTACATTTTATATATCATTGCCGGATACATAGATACAAGCATAGTATAGATTACAATATTAAAGCCATTCTCAAACACTAACCAGCCAGACTCACTGGGATGAGTCTGCTGATAGAAGTTGCTACTTCTAGGATCAAGGAACTGAGATGGTAATCTCTCCGGAATCCAATGAAATCTGCCTTAAAAGTTTGTCATGATTTCTTTGTTAGGACATATGGACATCACGCACAGAATAGCCTGATCATGACCTTGAACCTGTGCAATTACGGATATGATTGCTTACTTTAAGCCAAATGATGCAATTAGTAAATTACCAATCACATGTATTTTGTCGGCACATAGAACCTGCTATGTTTTGGTTCTATAACTCTTTTTATGTGTCAACCTGTCACTTATATTTTTAGTGCATATTTAGTACAATTGGCCAAAGACATTAATTAATGAAATATAATACCACCATTAATTATAAGAGCAAAAAGGTGAAATTTTCCGTTTTAGCACTAGTAAGATTTAAAGCAATAAATGTAAGCATAAAATATAAAAACTAATGCGCTGTTTTAAGTAATAATAGGGACATTTAAAATGTATCTTTCGGTGGTCTTAGCACCGAACTTTTACTTTGAAACGTCGAAAAAGATCTGACATAACAGAACCAAAACATTTCTCGAAACCTGTTTCAAAAATACTTTAGTCAAAGTTCAAATTTTACCCAAACATTTTTTTCTGTCAGTGATACTAAATTTCCCATTACTCACTGTGAAGCCATGCTGCCAGTATCAATGCAAACAATTTAATTATTCAACCAATTCACGTGATCTGAACAGGATTTCAAAGAAAATATGTTCGATGTTAATGTAATAAACGAATAGAATTTTTTTTTAATTTTGATCAGATCGCATATAAGCGAGATTGACTCTCGAAGATAATGAAATGATGTATGACAATTTATGATAAATGAGTATTTATATTATCAAAGAAGTTGTTTTACATGATATATTAATTTGATTTGTTGATACTATCTGAATCAATATTGATAGTATCGACTGTATTAATTATAGATTTTCTTATTTGTTTGATCAACTATAGAAAAAAAATATATGCTTAAAATAAAATAAATATAAAAGTACACGAGCTTGTAATGTGGATCCGGGAATCCGGGAAAATTTTCTGAAAAAGCAACTATCTCGCTGTGTCAATAATATTTATATATCTTATTTCACAGACAACCTAGTCGATATCATTCGAGACTTGATTTATCATGTTGATTCATTTTTTAAATAAAAAATCTTTAAGAAAGAAGAGATCCCCTTGTCCGGACAGCTGCGCTACGGCCTACTGTTATTTCGAATTCTTATTTGTATACATTAATTCCAATTTACTTCTTATTGTAAAGTCTCTGGTATTGTAATGTAGCGTATGTGTGCACACCGATATGCCTGCAAAACTGTTAAGGTTAAATAAGGTAACGACTCAAACCATTTCACCAGAAAGGTGTGGGGGAAGGGTTGGGGTGCTGCGGTAGGTACAGGGTTGTATTTGTTGGCAGAGAAAGTTCTCCGGGCTATTCCAGTCTAGTTCAAACAATGTTAAGGCTAAATGAAATGGGTTTTAACGTCCTGCTGTTTTGCTCCGAACTGGGCTAAGACGGGCATACACCATACAGTGTGCTATGAGGGAAATTTTGCCGGACAATGGCACTACGGCCTACTCTTACATCGAATTCCAACTATCGGTGTTTCGTCCCATCCGAACGACTAGACAGCTTTCCTTGTCAGGTCCTCTGTCCTGTAGCACTGATAAGGGTGGGGGGGCACGCCGGAAAATCTGGATGAACTTTCTCGGCCAATGCAGGATCGAACACCCGACCTCCAGGATAGCGAGCCAGCCCTTTACCCACTTAGCCACCGTGACCCCCCTGTTAAGGCTAAATACGGTACCGACCCCAAACCATTACACCGGAAACAGTGGGTGTGCGTTGGGGGTAATGTTGCTTGATGAGTATAGTGTTGACAGAGAAAACTCCCCGGGTTGTTCCAGCCTAGTTCCAACAATGGTGCAGGATGGATGGACTGGCATGGAAGAGTTTCTAATCATTCTGGTGGGACGAAAAAGCGTAGCCCCGTGCATATTATTGACAGACGTTAAATCTCATTTCAGTTTCATTTCCGGATGGTACGAAAAACCGAGTTGGCGTGCACGTTAAAGGACCCTTGGTTGGAATTCGATGTAAGAGTGAGCCGTAGCGCCGCTGTCCTAGCAAAACTTCCCTCATAGCACGGAGTATGCTCGTCTTTATTAGCCCAGTCGGAGCAGAAAATTTGAACGTTAAAACCCCATTTCATTCATTCATTCATCACAATCGGAAATTCCCATTGTTTAAGCCTACTGTAGTTAGCTCCCTTGGATCACTGTGATTCTGAGTTCAGAGTCTATTGTGTAAGGTGACAACAACGTGCTATGACAGGTACGGTATGTTCTCTGTATTCGTCGCATTATGTATATATTTCCAAACTTTTGAAACAAGTGGTATATAAAGGAGCAACAGTTCGGGGTAAATAAAACTTTCATACTGCTGTTTCTTGGACGTCGGTCGGTACTAGGCCGTGGAAGACACTGGCAAAAGCGGTTGTAATTGCACGATGATTTAATATTACACTCTGTTTCTCAATTAATGATACTAGCTTGTTTGTTGTCAAATTTCCTAAACGAGTAAGTTCTATTAGTAATATAGTAATATCCATTTTCAACACGTTTGAATGAGTCAAGCGAACTTGCAAGTTACAGATAAATTAGTTTTAACGTCTGACTGCGATCGTAGGTAAACACGAACAAGTCCAATAGACCAGTGTTTTTTTAACAAGACTTCTCAGCTACTTTCAGGAAAGAGTGAAAACTGTTAAAATTGCGTTACTTTCTTTTTAAAATGTTAAAATTTTGGCTTATACAAATAAAAGTGTCTAAAACAGACAGGGCAATATTCACAGCCTTACTCATGGTCAATATTAAATAATAACAACTCTATTTTTAATTTACAAAAATATAATTTACAGATGATAGGAATTTTTACAGAAACTTTTGAGGTGCATTCTTGTCCAGAGTTCTCGCGCCAGTTGAGGTCTAACAAAAGCCGATACGACAAGCCTACTGCGACTGAAGTCACAGACGCGAACCATACCAAAGGGACTGAACTCCTCCTTAGCAAACGCCCTGTACTGATTAACGCCTGCAGCCAGGGCAAGAACACCAGTAATATGAACATCCTCCATGTTTAAATACGGCATATATTCAGACACATTCAGTAGGCGCATCATAAAAGTTGTAGGCATGAAATAAGCATTGCCCTTTACGTGAGGTGGGTAGTACACAAATGGATATACAGTATTAGACACTCTGTATTTACCAATCCGATATGCTTTGTCATTTGCAAAATAATAACCACTGATTTTAGTATTCCAATCCTTTGAATGAAGCCTGTTAACCACTTTAGGAATATCAACAAAAGAGTCTTCGTCCGCCTTCATTACGAATTTTGCCAGCGGGCAAAATTCTTTGACCCATTTAAATCCCATTAATACTTTATAGGTTAAATTATAGTAAGATTCCTGAAAACCAAATAGTACAATGTCGTTGTGTTCTTCAGATTCTTTTGAAACTATTTCATTTAAAGTATCGTTTGGTTGTTTCCCCAATAAAAACACAATTTTGATGTTGTCTGTAATATGTTTTCGAGGCCATTTTTCTCCATAAGCCAAACCGCCCCATGTCTGCCTGATTACTTCTCTTTCCTCTGCATGCTCGTGCATAGTTAATACGAGAATTAATAAAAATGGCGGATCCGAACATGCATTCTTGTTCTTTATCAATATTTCAAAATCAAGCGGGGTTACTCTTTCACTACGAGGAACGAAATATAACGGGTTATCGCTTGGCGTTTTCCACATCTGAACACTGGAATTTGTTGTAATAGCATAAGATTCGGTCGTTGCCTTGACTACAAAATAATTAGAAATGGTTGTAGTCAAGGGGGATGCAGTAACCATGACAACACCTCCCTGGTGATTTGAACCAATCAGATTTAATGCAGCATTTAAAATGAAATGACAACACGCCACGCAACAGATTAACAGCAATGTACACTTCTTGGTGAAATATCTTTTAAGTAGAATCATTGTGTTGATATTGATTCACTCCAGACGATCTGAAATAGAAAATGTATTAAATTTACAATATAGAAAATGTAAAGAAAGAAAGACACTTTGTCATTGCTTGTTCCAACAGGATAAGTCAGGCGTTTTAATTCATTTACAGCTCGGTGCTGTGTTATTCAATTCGAGCGTTTCTTTCGATAATACAAAATGGGAAATGAAATCGTGTTTAACGTCTTAACTTAGCTAATGATGATGGGGATTCAGTTTGCCATTCAGTTTGCGATGAGGGAAATGAAATTAAATCTAAATTTCCGACTTTCAAGGGTATCTTTTAAGTTCACACCAATGTGCCATCCAAACGACTTGACGCTGTAGTTTGCCATGATCTCCGCATCGAAAAATCCCGAGGAACTAAGCCTCGCTCACAACCCACCGTACGTTCTACTACGGGAGGTTTACGGTTAAAATTTTAATAAACCCGTGCGTGAGACTCTCGCCTCGCTTGCGTGTGTTCGGTACCGCAGAAGATCGCAGACTGGCCGTAAAGACTTTTGATGCTGCACATAAGAAATTTTCACCCGTTTTCTTGCGGCTGGTCTTCGAGCTACTAAATCCTACGACCCGTGCCTATCAAAACACGTACGGCGGGTTGTAAGCTAGGCTTTAGCAAACCCGCGTCTTAGTCACTAAACCAAAAAACTAGGTCGACTATGATACACACTGTCAATGTAATGATTGTAATTATAAACGTTAGTCTCAAAATGAGTTTCAACAAAGTTAAATTGTATTCCATTCAACCACAGCTACTTATTGCGAGATGGAAGAGTAAAGTTTGTTCTACAATGTTACACTAGACTCCATCATTACAAAGCGTCCGGGAAACACGGTGGCTCAGTGAGTAAGGCACTGACTCACATGGCAGGATGGCTCGAGATCGATCCCGGTGTTGACCGAGAAATTATATCCATCGCCTCCATATTTAAATGTACACGTATCACTCCCAACTGATTTGCTGTACCGTATATACAGTACAATTCGTTCATACCTCCCAGACCATTTGGCTATTCAACGGCAACATACACTCACTGTGCACGTTGAAATACACGAATCCTCATTAAGGAAACTTAATCCCTTTGTTTTAAATCAAAATTAAAGTATTGGTTGATCTGATCTGTTATTTTAAATTTTGATCGATATGCGATTATATGATTGATTCGAATGATTACATTTTGTTTCGAAAGATTAAGAGAGAGTAGGGTTATTTACCAATTTTAGTTTAATGTTGTCTTACTGGTCGACAGTCGAACTCAAAATCGGTTATACCTGGCTTTATCTATAGAGGCAAAAAGGTTTCAACGATAACGGGTAAGACAAGTATACGGCCATACAGTATACTATGGGGGAAATTTGGCCCTGACAGCGGCGCTACGACCTACTCTTATATCGAATCCCAGTTGCGTGCAAACCAGTGTGTACACGGGACCTTGTTCTTTCGTCTCATTCGAACTACTATACGTTGTCCCCTGCCAGGTCCTTGCACCACTGACACGCCGGAAAATCCAGATGAACTTCCTTTGCAAGAAACGCTGTGGTACTGGAGATATTCTTGTGAATAATTACGATATTGATAAAAACAACAAAGACCCACAATATACAGTAGATCCATTCTATGAGTCAGTGGGTACTCGCTGGTTCAATAACCAAAACGGCACACATAAGAAAAATGTGAAAAACAACGTGATCCCAATTGAGTATTTGCTTCTGTCTACTGGTAAGTTAATAGCTGTGTTTTTCTTTTTTTTTTTTAGTTTGAGTCTTTCTATGTGTCTATGACTATGTTTTTATTTTGCAAAATTCCAAATATTTTTCACATATATTTAGACAGGTGTGCCGCTATATTTTCATGTGTTCCAATGTGTGCCGTTCCCAAAAAAGGTTGAGAACCACTGAACCAGAAGGTCTGGGGTTTGATCTCAGTGCTGAACGAGAACGTTCCCGGGATTTTCCAGTGTGGTTTTGCCATGTTAGTGGTGCAGGACGGAGGGTCTGACAAGGACAGTGTCTAGTCGGTGGAATGGGACGAAAACCCGAGTTCCCGTGTACACATTGACGTTGGAATTCGAAAAAAGAGAAGACCGTAGCGCAGCTATCCGGGCACAATGTCCCTCATATCGCACTGTATGGCGTATGCCCCTCTTCATTCGCAGAAAAAATAGAAAGTTAAGCTCGATTTTATTTCATTCCAGATCCCATTTTTATACTACATAATATGGTCAACACGAATGAATAACTGATCGGTAATTCTGCCTGGCGGAAATATATACAAATATCAATACTTGATGCAATGCTCTATTCAAACGCAGTATATGGCAATCGATTTTACTCGCCTGAAATAAGCATTAAAACAAGGAAGACAAAACAAGGTCAAGATGTTTAAAAGTAGTTGGTAGGTTTTATAGTTTATTATCGATTATAATTACATGGTCTAACATGACATATTATTTGTTTACAATCATGGAATGGAATTTAATGTTTCGTCAACACAATTTTCGGTCCGTTTGAGAGAGAGAGAGAGAGAGAGAGAGAGAGAGAGAGAGAGAGAGAGCGAGAGAAATGGGGTTTAATGTCCACTCTACACAAACTAGGTCATTTCGGGACTAACATATGGTTTAATTTTATTTCAATAATTCGCTTGCGCGTAGGGGTCTTTAGCAGTGGGAGGAAACCGGAGGACCCGGAGAAAATCCACGAGGTTGGACAGGCGACCCTACTCCTTGTCACGTACAACCGGGGATTCGAAACCACGCCAGTTGACTCAATGACAGGCTTTATGATACAGCGCGCACGTGCTAACCATTCGGCCAACCAAATGAAATGAAATGAAGTCGGATTTAACGTCCTACTGTTCTGCTCCTAAACTGGGCTAATGAAGACGGGCATACGCCATACAGTGTGCTATGAAGGAAATTTTGCCCGGGCAGCGGCACTATCGCCTACTCTTATATCGAATTCCAACTGCCAAGGGATCTTTTACGTGCATTCCGATGTATACACGGGACCTCGGTTTTTCGTCTCATCCGAAAGACTAGACAGCTGTCCTTGTCAGGCCCTCCGTCCTGCATCACTGACAAGGTGGAACCACGCCGGAAAATCTGGATGAACTTTCTCGGCCAATGCAGGGATCGAACACCCGACCTCCAGACTAGCGAGCCAGCGTCTTACCCACTTAGCCACGTGATCCCCCATTCGGCCAACCAACCCCCCGGTCCGTTTGAGACTAAATAAAATCCGGTTAGTTTTGTTTTTACTATGGACACGTGTACCGTAGGCACGGCAATCTAAAGTATAATGCAATACATTAATTGTTAGCCACACAGGTGCTTTCCCTGGCATTTAGGAACGGGGTTCAAATATAAACCCCCAAAACGAAGGGTAGCTGATGTCTTGGCGTCGATGCTAGCGGAAACAAATCAAACGAGATATCATAAAGATGCCGTCGTGAAATTAACAGAAATGGATGTATACTTCAAATGGCTATAATTTACGAAAGGTTTGATTTAATAGTTTTTTGTACCCATTCGTTGACAGTTTCGATATTCCTTTCCGTATTGTCGCTTTAATGGGTAGAGAGAAGCTATGGTACTGTTATAAATTGTTTATATATTTTCGTTAACGTGTACGTACTGTATCATAAGGTCTGTCATTGAGTTAACTGGCGTGATTTCGATTCCCCAGTTGTGCGTGACTTTGGGTTTTCTCCAGGTCCTCCGGTTTCCTCCCACTGCTAAAGACCCCTACGCGCAAGGGAATTATTGAAATAAAATTGAAACATATGTTAGTCCCGAAATGACCTAGTTTGTGTCGAGTGGACATTAAACAATAAACCCTCTCTCTCTCTCTCTCTCTCTCTCTCTCTCTTTATATATTTTCACTTCCCTATGATTTGATTGCCTAAGGATACTTTAGTAATCTTTCCATTTGGCATCTATAGAATTCAATTTAGATGTCTGCCTTCCTACACATTTAGATGTCTGCCTTCAAATAAACGTTCAAACTACACATGTGTAAGTAATGATCGCGTTCTACAAAGACAGACTCTGGTATGTATTTTCTTCCCAATCGCTTCTACCAGCGTTTACCGTTACTGTTGCTATTATTTATATATACACGTATGTTTATACAACATTTTCATACTTGAGATTCCGTGTTTCTGTAAAATGAAACAGGTATATTGTTTCACCATGTTTGAACTATCTGCAGTCAATAACATAGATTGTTTTTTTGGGGTTTTTTTTTTTAAAGCTATGTATGAAATGAAATTAAACATGGTTTAAAGTCCTACTTCCCTGCCCCAACCGGACTAATGAAACGACCATGTATTGTCCTATGAGGAGAATTTTACACGGACAGCGGCGCTGTGGCCTACTCTTATTTCGAATAGGCCACAGATAACTGGGATATATCGTCCACTCGACACAAACTAGGTCATTTCGGGACTAACACATGGTTTCAATTTTATTTCAATAAAATTTTGCGCGTAGGGGCCTTTAACAGCGGGAGGAAACCGGGGAACCAGACCAAACCTACGAGGCTGGAAAGGTGCCCTACTCCTTGTCACGTAAAAGTGGGGAATCCAACCACGCTACCTGACTCAATGACAGACCTTATGATCTAACACACTCACCACACACGTTAAACAATTTGGTCGCCAACCTCCCCTGCATTTCGAAAAAAAAAAGATATACATTTTTGACCGTCCCCGGTTGACTAGGGTTTGTAGCAGTAAAAAGGACGCAGTTTTTTTTGTGGGAAATCAATCACTGATTTTATTCTAAAAGCACGATGTTTCGACAAGTATCCTATTATCAAGAAAGAATGACATTTAATAAATTTATCAAGTGTTTACATTTCACAGTATATAGAATAACATGTTTCACCATTGATGCAGGTCTACAGCTTTAGAAAAATCCATTAAACGGTTACTGTCTTGTAGTTCTTATCAGAAATAAAGCCATTGTTTATGTGTATGATCTAACTCAAGATCAAAATG